GGGGAAAAAACTTATGTATCCTCAGAAAGAAGGCTTTCCCCTCCTCCTCGTGCTCTCTCTAGAGTTTGGCCCGCAGTCAAACAGACACACAGGAAAAGGCTCCTTGCAGCCGGACACTTGAAGGAATCCAGCTGTGTTTATTTGCCCCTCTCTTTCACAGAGACTTGAGAACATTGTAAAGAGAGGCCTGCTTAGTCTTCATGTTGAGCTTTCTGGACAGAAGGCAACTGAAACTCAGGAGGGCTGACCCTTCATTAGCACTTTTAAAAAGTTTGGCACAAGTTCATCTATAATAATAATAATAATAATAATAATAATAATAATAATAATAATAATAATAATAATAATAATAATAATAATAATAATAATAATAATAATAATAATAATAATAATAATAATAATAATAATAATAGCCTTCTAGGAAGTCAAATCTGACGATTCTGACTTATGTTGATCCTTTCCTGGGTTTTCCAGGTAGAGATAACACAAAAGAGGTTTACCATTCCCTTCTTCAGGAGGTGCCTTGGGATTCTGCAGCTTGCCCAAGGCAACACAGGCTGGCTCTTCTGAGAGGCACAGTGGGGAATTCAATCCTCAACCTCTCCTACACCACTGAGCTATCCAGCCAGCCACTAAGTTAATAGGACGCACATAATTAGGAGAGGAGGGTTTGCAGTAACCATGTGTGGCCCTTACACAGGCAAACCCCAAGGCTCTCTTATGCACTAGGATTCTATTATTCATCTGGTTGCTTTTGTAAGATGTGACCTGCATGTTGGAGGTGTGCTTCTGTTGGAGACGTGCCGCAGAATTTCCCAGACACATGGCAATGCAATGAACATTAGGTCAACTTGTAGAACTTGTAGAATAGGACAGGGGAGGTGTGTTCCTTGGCTTCACTTCTGAGCTGCCTTTGATTAGGCTTCTATCGCAAACATAGTCACTAATGAAAAGTAGGAATATGCAAAAACAGTCCAAATATTACTGATGCTTACATAAGCTTTGCATTAAAGTACTGTGGTGCATCGCTAGACAATGATAATCTGTTCCACTGAAATCGCTGTTTAGCAAAATCATTCTCTAGTGAAAAGCATTTCCCCATTGGAATGCATTGCAATCTGTTTAATGCGTTCCAATGGGAAAGAATAATTGTTGTCTGGCGAAAATCGGCCATAGGAAAGCTGCTTTGTGAACCGCCGATGAGCTGTTTAAATTGCTGTCTTGCGAAGCTTAGGTCCCGAAAACACCTGTTTGCGAGTGCAGAGGGAGCTGTCTAAATCATCATATAGCGAAATTCATTATGTGAAGCAGGGACCAAACATTGTCCAGCAAAATTCCCCCATAGGAATCACTGTTTTGCAAATCGCTATAGCGATCACAAAAAGCCAATGTCTAGCGAAAAACTGTCATGCAGGATAAATGTCTAGGGAGGCACCACTGTACTTGCTTATATAGCTAATTGACGAGGTACCAGGGAGCATCTCAATTGCTCAGTCAAGCATGTGACTGATATGTTCTGCAGCATGTTGTCTGTTAGCTACAACAAGTTATGCAAACCTTGTGTGAATACCATCAGGATTCTGCCATTGCCATGTGATCCGCTCTTGATCTACTGTGTACCTGCAGTAGCTCAATATTTATTATTTCTTTATGGTAGCTACGAGATGAGCTTGCCTCCATGAATAACAGAAAGATTTGGATGCAGCTACTCGGGGATGGGGGTGGGGTGGGAGGAAGTATCAGGAAATACCTAGCAGATGTTCAGCGCCTGGCAGGCAGAAGCCAGAACTTGTTATGGTCTGTTGTTCTGTCTTGCGAGGTCACACTGTTTCCTTGTCTTCTAGCTGCTATACAGCCAAATTCTCCTATCACTATAAAACTGCATTTTGAAAATTTTGCACTATAAAACTTTGCATTTTGGTTTCAGCTAGAGCTGTGGGGATATCATAATCGGTTGTTTTGTTTTGTTTTCTTCTAGGAAGAGCAAACTGCAGCATGAAAATCTTTCCACTCTTCCAAGGTGTTCTCTATAGATGAAATATTCCACGGATACAACTGGAAATGAAAATCAGGAGGAGCTTGCTTTGCATAAAGTCCCGATGCATTTATGCAGAGGATCTGACATGTTATGATTGGTCACAGAACTGATGCTAGACCAGCCTCACCATGAGGCAGAGCGAGGCACACACCTCAAGCAGTAAGTGGTGCCGAGCAGCAATGAGAGCATCAGAAGTATTCCTCCTTAGCCCTTGGGCCTCTCCTCTTTCATGAAAAACGTACTGCCTGTCTTCCCTCTTCTAATCTGGCTTGTTGCCCCCAAGATGTGGTGGAGGAAACTGTCCCATTATCTGTGTTCAAATAAGATTTAACTGCTGGCCCACCTCATTTCTGGACACTCAGTGGAGGGATTATCATCCTGGCCTTTGCCTGACCTAGCATAATGTCTTGGGCCAGCACTATGCTGACAGTAAGAAATTTCTGCTCTGCATGCCATGAATCATTATGCACCCCTTCATCTTTCCTTCTTTTCAATATTATACGCAAGCATCTGCCACATAGTAATATTCTGCATACTTTTGATTAGAAGTCATTCAGCGTTTCATTAAATGCAAAAATGCTTCTAACTGCTGGGAAAAATGGTGTTTATTCTTTCCATAAATGTCTTGTAATTTGTGTCTAATTCATAGTGACGTGTAACTAAAAATGATATTGAATCTGGCAAGAAATAGTATAAAATGAATGTTTAATATAGTTATATAAAACTTCTAGCGTCTTGACTGCACTGAAGACTCAAAAGAACTACAGCCATCACAACGTTTATAGTGGTTCTATAAATAGGGATGTTAAAGGTGCCCGATATGGAAAATAACAGGCAAAGCTCAAATATCTTACTTTCCTCCCTAAAAATTCCATGAATGTCTAGCAGTTTAATATTCATAACAATAAAATATAACATTTGTTCTGTGGGTTTTTTCCTGTCTAGTCTGCTTAATTAAAATAGTTATGTGGTTCAGTAATAAGAAAAACTATTCTGTCTTTTTCTTCTCAAATGTCATTTTTCAAAAATAAAACTTTTTTTAAAGAATAGATTTTGGCTATGATGCAAACCCTGAAGAATTGGCAGTGTAACCAGTCCTTACAAAGGCAATGTTCTGTGAAGCAGCCATGATGGAATTTGCCCAGATTTTGTAATAATGAATGCTCCAGGTTGTATTCTGTATAAATGCCAAGTTTATAGCTGTATGTATACGTTGACTTAAAACTGTTTTTTCACAGAATTCTCCTTTAAACAGGACTTTATTCATTTGATCAGGTGGATGCCGTCAGTACGGTAGTGATGATGCCAGTGCGTATGACAGCATGATGCAAGGGCATATGATAATAATATTGATAATGTTGAGCATAGTTACGTTGAATTAGTGCAGAGCTGGGATATGACCTAAGAATCATGCATATTTCCTTAAGGAAGAAAGGAAGAGAACATGTGTGTGTAGTTAATTATAATACTTCATATTTATATATTACAAATGAGACATGCAATGTAAGTCAAATTCTTTCTCAAGATAGTCCTTTGTGTTACATTCCCAGCAGCCTGCAACTCACAGCAGTCATCATTCCATGCTCATGGAGATTGTGATGTCTTGACTATGATTTTTTTTTGGGGGGGGGTTCTCTCCCTTTGATTATTTTCCTTCTACAAATGTGAAATTGGAGAAATGTACTTGTGCAAATCTTGGTTTTCTCCCAAGCCGTTACTTCCTACTTGTGTGGGGGTGGTGACATCTTATCTGCATAAAGATCTACACTGTGAGAATGAGTTCACTGTCAGCATATAAGATATCCAAACTGCTCCATGTACAGTTTTTTATTATGTGATACTTAATATTATCCTGTAAGGCAGGGCGGGAATGTTCAACCAAATGCATACCTGTGAAAATGTGTCATCTTTTTGTGTTCCTCCTCCCTCTGACTGTTCTGCTGGGAATCTTTTTTTAGAGGAGAAGAAAGAACCCAGGTTTCTTTTGTCCACAATCAACCCCTGAAGGAAAGGATTTAGGTTCTGACTCAGGGCATCCACATTCTTGAGTCACTAGGTGGAAGGGCAAGGTAAGCCTCCTGAATTACAAGCACTGTGAATAAATACTTGGTATCCCTTAGGTTACTTGAGAGAAAGAGGCTACTGCTGTTGTTTTTCCCAGTG